CAGCACTTACTTGCAGATGTACCTGAGCAGGTTGTAATTGGCCTGAGGAAGGTTGCTCACTTGTTTAGCTAACTCCAGAGTCCCCTTGGGAATGAAGGAAAAAAACACGGAATTTCAAACAGCAGCAGGCAGCTCTGGGCCCTTCTGGAGGGGAGGGAATGGATGGGAGAAGGGAGGTGGGAGCAGGGCCCAGACCCCAGGCGTCCCCTCCTCCAACTCCCCTAAGGTGACCAGGGCCAGGGCCAGGGCGGGGAGGTGACCTGGGGAGCGGGTGTGAGGGGTGCACCTCTGCGGGGCCACAGAGGAATGCCAGGCCAGCAGGCAGCTCGCTTATCCAGGCACAAATATTTGCCAGATAACGACCCCTCATCTCCCACACTGCCGCAGGGAAGGCAAACAGCCCTGCCCCACCCCCACCCCGCCTGCCGCAGACCCAGACCTGCACCTGCGGTGGGGGAGGAGGCGGCTGCACCCGCTGTCTGGGGACAGTCTCTAACTCCTCTGGGAAGGAGGCAGGACAGAGACAGAAAAAAGGTCTCCTTGTTCCCCAGGCCCTGGCAGCCTGGCCGCGGGAGAAGGCGGAGGGAGGGAGCGTCTGCACTGCGGTGGAAAGGCCGGGCGCCTGCACAGACATGGTCGTTAATGGGCACCTGCCCCCAGACCAAGGCACACAGGCCGGGAGCCCTACGCCTGGGGCGGGAAGCTCTAGCAGGACGCTCCGGCCACATGCACAGGGTGGGCGTCTAGCCAGGATCCTAGTCAGAGTTTATGCCCCACTCAGAGGTCTGCTGCGCGGCCAGCCTGCCTCCCAGGATGGGTCCCCAGAGCCACTAACCTCCCCCTCGTCCTTGGTGAGCAGCTGGGCACAGCTGAGGAAGTCCTCGTACCTGGCGAAGGGGACCACGGGCTCAGGGAGCTCCCGCAGGTAGAGCTTCAGCAGGGAGGCCACCGTATGCACATCCGTGGTGCTGGGGGCAGAGAGGCAGGTGAGACCCGGATGCCAGAGGCTGCTGCAGCGACTGGCACCCCCTGCACCAGGGCAGCCTCTGGTCTCAGGCCCAGGAGTGAGTCCGATGGGGCTGCCTGAGCCAACCCCTCTGGGCAAGGAAGGCCCCGCTGTGCCAGGAGCAGCAGACAGGGCTCCCGGGAGCTGGGTGCCAAGGCCACACTTAGAGAGAGCCCAGCTTAGGGACCACCCATCTTGCCCGGGATCTGCTCAGAAGCCCTGCGTCTCTAATCCATGCCAGTCCTTCCAGGACAGCCACAGCTCCTGTGTAGGCGTGTGGGGCTCGGGCTGACCTGCTGCAAAACCACAGGCCTGTGGGGCACAGCTAGCCCACAGTGGCTGCCCTGGCCAGGAGGGGCTAGGCGGCTCCAGAGGGGGCTCCATGACAGCAGGCCAAGTGGCCACCTCCAGGCACCCTGCAGGGCACGTGGGCACTGCCTGGGGTGGGACAGCTGTCCTGCGAGCCTGCAGGAGGAGCTGCCATGCCAGCCTGAGAACACTCCCTGGTTCGCCCTGGGCCGGAAAGGGGAGGAGCTGTGTCAGGCACCTGCTCTGTGGGGTTGCTAAGCTGCGCATGGACAGTGGGCATCCGGGGACACCAGCACCAGGGTTGAGGTCAGAGGTCAGAGGTCAGGTCCTTGGCCTCTGGGCCCCTGAGCACACAGGACGCCTGGGCATCTCCACTCATCACCCTGTCTCCAGTGCCCTGTGTACCGACTCTCGGCCCCAGTCCTTTGTCGCCACCTGGAGCTGCCCAGGCTGAGGTGCCTGGGTGCACAGGGCAGTGGCCCTGGGCCTGGACAGCTCCCTCACGAGGTCCTGTTTGAGCTCCGGGAGTCCGTTCCTGGACTATAGTCTTGCACCCCCTCCCAGCTTGCACCGCAAGCTGAATTTGGGCCCCAGGAGGTCCATCCACTTGCCTGAGACCCCGTTTTTAACCCTCCACCTGCACTTCCCTCATGGGAGACCCTCAGGGAAGAGAAGATAAGCCTGGGGCCAGACCACAGCTGTGCCATTAAGGTGTCACCTCGCCCTGGCTGAGTCCCATGTTGGTGTCACCAAGACAAACACTGGGGCCCCTTCTAGCCATTTGTGATCTGGGGTTCTGTATGCCATATGCACCCCATATCTATACAGCCGGAGCCCCCCGCTACAGGCCTGGGGGCTCTAGGTGTGGCTGGGCCACACCTGCCGGCTCAACAGGCACACTGCTGTGCCCTCCTCCCGGACCAGCTTCCCGGCAGATCTTCCCCGGGGCTCAGGCAACAGGGCAGGGACGGAGCAGGGAGGGCCAGCAGGAGGCCCTGCAGACTCAGTAGGAAAGCAGGGACTGGATGGCGGTGCCTCCTGCAGGAGGGGGAGGAGACGCATCTCTGTCCTTGGCTAGTGGGCTCGGGGTGGGCCCTCCACTCTGCAGACCTCACCTCGGCCTGAGGCCCCTCTGCTCCAAGCCCTGGTGCCCCACAGGGCGCTGTGGCTCAGCCAAGCTGCCCCTGCCTGGCCGCCCTGGGAGCCAGGGCCATGTTGTCAGGGCACCCTGCGGGGAGGACCTGAAGGCTCTTCTGCCCCGCCAGCTCTCCACCCAGGGCCCTCTGTCCATCCAGACTCCGCCCAGCCTCCTGCCTGCCCTGACACGCCTCCCCCCAGACGTGCCCACTTGTGGCCTAGCTTCTGATGGCCCCTAGCCCTATTTCCTCGCAGCTCCCAGCACTGCCACCAGCTTCACAGCCTTCCCTCTAGCCAGGAAGCATGGATCCTGGCCTCCTCGCATCCTGGGCCTGCGCGGGGCGCCTCTCTGAAAACTCCCCTACTGCCATCCCAGTCTGATGGCTCAGAGGCCGGGCTGGGCCTGGCCCACTGACCTCACAGTGTCCTGTTAGGTCCTTACGCCAGGGCCGGGCTGGGCATGCTGACTCAGGATTTCAGCCCTGGCAGCAAGGCCTGGTCTGTCCGGCTCATGGCTGCCCCCAGGTCTTTCATGCACCCCTCCCTCAGTGCTAGGTGCCTAGTAAGGAAGGGGCTGCTGTGAGGAGCCCATGGCGCCCCGAGGGTCTGGAACCATGCTCACCAGCGGTGTAGATGGCGCCGGGACCGCTGTCCCCGCCCAGGGCCCAGGGAATGCCCGGTGGAGGGTGGATGTGGGCCACTCAGGGCACTAAGGCTTCAGGGCTATGGGGCTCTCCATGGGGGCAGGGTCCAGAGCCTGGGGCTGGAAGGGCTGAGCAGGAGGCAGGAGGGGGCTTCTCCAGAGCTTGGGCAGAGCTGGGGCCCAGTGGGAAGTGGGAGGCCTTTGGCTGAGCGCTCTGTGGGGGGCAGGCAGAAAGGGAGCCCTGGACCTCTGTCCACATGAGCACAGCTGCAGAGCCAGGGGGCTGCCATGGGAAAGCGGCTCATACCCAGGAGGGGTTTCTGCAGGGTGAGGGAACCAGCCCGGTTTGGGGGCTGTGAGGGGAGTGAGTGGAGAGGAGCCCAGCAAGGGGAGTAGCATAGCCACGTGCTGCTAGCTGGCAGGGGGTGCAGCTCGCATGCAGGGAGGGCCCCCCAGTACCCAGAGGCCATAGAGGACGGTGTGGGGCCCACGAGCTGCCGGTACCGACTGCATTTGTGGGTGTTTACCAGGCAGGAAGGAGGGGCCGGCCTCGCCCCCAGGACCTGCAGCCTGGGAAGTGCAGTAGCATGGGGCAGGGCTGGGCTGCGGGCAGGGGCGGCCAGCAGCGCGGTGTTTAGGGCAGTGACAAGGTCCGATCTGTGTCTGAAGGCTCCCTCAGGTACACCTGGCGCCATGGCAGTGCATCTGGCCCTGGAAAGTGGCTGCCAGTCCAGGTTGTTAGGCCCTACCCAAGCAGTCTTACTCGAAGCTCTCTTTAGCGGGGCTGGCCGCGTAGGCGCAGGTGCGGGCCGGGAGCGGCCTGTTCAGAGGCACCATGAGCTCAACCATAGTCAGTGCCTCTTCCTGAGGTGCCAGAGAAGGGAGCCTGTGCCAGGCCCACCTGGAGCATAGCCGCCAGTCCTGGGCCGTCCTAAGGGGGACACGGAGTAGCCCTCCTGGCTGGCCGATGGTTGGGGCAGAGCTTCAAGGACTGAGGGGGTTCTGCTGCCGGAAGAGGCGAGCTGGGGAGGCCAAGGTGCCTGGGTCCCAGCAGCCCGTCCCAGTCCCAGGCACGGGCCTCATTTGCAAGGGCAGTTCCCAGAGGAAAAGGTGGAAGCTCTGGAGGCAGGGTTGGCTTGATGCAGGAAGAATTTTGATCAAAAACAGCCCCACGTGGGTGGGGTTCCTAGGGAGAAGAAAGCCCCCACACAGCCCTGCCTAGGGGCGAGCCACGCCTCCACCATTCTCAGCTCCTGGGCTTGAAGCAGCTGACTTTATAGGGATGGCACCAGGACCTGGGTAAGCCCCGGTGACAGGAGGCCATGGACCTAGGGTAAGTGGAGAGGACTCACGTGCCTGTCCCTAAAACCTAAGAGGGAGTGAAGCCAGGGTGGTGCCACCCATGGAGCCTGGAGAGGGCTGCCCAGGGGAAGCAGAGCCGAGAGACCCCGCAGGAGCAGCTGTGGCTGAAGTAGCTGAGCATGGCAGCAGCAGAGGCCCTTCCCTCCCTCTGCCTGAGCCTCGTAGGCTTCTTAAGAGACTCCTGTGAGCCCCAAGAGTGGGTGGGCTCAGTCACCGCAGTACCCACCCGAGGGGTGGCCCAGGGCTGCCGGGGAGGCCCTGTGCCCTCTGGAAGGGCTGCTTGAGCACACATGCCAGCGTGGGCCACCTTCCCTCTCTCTGTTGTGCTGCCCAGCCCTGCCCCCTGCAGCTGGTGTCCAGGGGCTCCACCTGCACCGCCCCCAGCCCAGAGCTCACCTGTCGAACACCGGCTTCTCCCCGCAGTCGAAGGAACCCTGCAGGTCCCGTACCAGGTTGGCCTGGCCAGGCATGCGGAAGAGCCCCTCCTCGGTGAGCCCGTGCTCCCGGATGAAGTCCACGCACTGCTCCACCAGCAGCGGCGCCAGGCGGGGGCCGCTCTTGCGCTCATGCTGCACCGTGTCCTCCAGGCGCTGCCCGAACACCCCTGGCACAGATGGAAGCTATCAGGCCTCAGCCACCCACAGCACAGGCGCAGGGGCGGGGCCACGGAGGCGAAGGGGGAGCAGGTAGGGCCAGAAGGGACTCCTCCTGAGCAGTAAATCAGATGCAGGGGGACGCACGTGGGCTCTGGGCCAGGGCTGCCAGCACAGGCACGGGGCACGCACAGCAGACAGCAGGAGCCAGCAGGGCACGGGCCTGGCCTGGCCCTCGGGGAGCACGCACCACGCACGTGACTGGGGGAGCTTTGCAGCTGGCCCAGTGGCCCACCACAACAGAATGGGCAGACACCCCATGCCCAGTCTGACCAGGAGCGCCATGCAGGGAAGAGCAGGTAAGAGCGTTGATGAGGCACAGCTCCCGGACAGCACAGAGGACGCGTCCACGTGAACTAATTGTGATGTCACGCCAATGATTGTTAAGGAAAAGCAGGCCAAAGCCATGGTAAGATGTCAGCTCACACTGTCAGGACGGCTGCTGTCCCAAATGACAGAAAATAACGAGTTGCGAGCACGTGGGGAACTGGAGCCCCATGCCCTGCGGTGGGCTCGCGGCACGGCGTGGAGGGGCGGCAGTTCCTCGAAAGCACACAGTAGAACCGCGGGGTGGGTAAGCCGCCTCACTGTGGCCGGTGCCCCGCGGAACTAACGTGGGGTCTAGCCTGTGTTCATGGCCGCCTTTCACAGTAGCCGGAAGGCAGAAGCAACCACGGGTGAAGGAACAGACAAGAAACCTGTGAAATATGCGTGCAAAGACCACGCATCAGCCTCGACGGGCAGGCTGGAATGAGGCGCACACGAATGAGCCTGAGCGCACGACGTAGTGTGAAATGACCATTTGCCAGGAGACAGGTGCCGTGCCACGCCCTCGCAGCAACCTGGGGTGGGGCACACGGCAGCACCGTGGCCGCCCACGCTGGGAGGGCAGGGGAGCTCGTGTTTCATGGGGACGGGTGTCAGCTAAGATGAACAGGTTCTGGAGATGGACTGTGTGGATGTCTGCACGCTGAGAATGTGCTTAACCCTCCTGATCCACACCCTTCCAAGACAGGGCAGAGCTGGCCCGGCCTGGGAGCAAGGGCCTGTTTGCCTCCGGGGCCTCCCATACATGCAGGGCGTGCGACGCATTCGTAACCCGCCTTGGCCGACGCTGGGTGGACCAGGTGAAGACCCTGCCTGGGTGCCTCTGTCTGTCATGGAAGGCAAGAATGTTAGGCTGGCCTGGCCTCGGGGTACAGCTGTGGGCACTCTGCACTGCAGGAAGCCATGGGGAAGCCCAGAATGGGGGAGACTTAGCTCCCAGGTGCACCTGAGCACGCCCACAAGCCCGGAGGCTCCTGCCTGCGGGGGGTGCATGCAGAGAGGTTTGACCCTGAGATCTGAGAAGTGCGCTTGTCTAACCCCGCAAAGCAAATGAAATAAGTAAACTTTAAACTACATGGTTAAGAGGTAAATCCCGCTGGGTTGATTTTATATTATTTATTTTATGATCGTGCATGTGCACACGAGAGAGAAGTGCCCTGATGCGGTCTCGTCACACTGCAGCCCCCTCTCCCAGGCTCCGCGTGCCCTGTACGTTTCCAGGGCAACCAGAGACCCACACCACTGCTGGCCAGGGCTCCCAGCCTGGGGACGCGGCCACCGCCACACCACAGAGGCCGGGCCCGTTAGGGTTATTTTATGAAAAAACATGTTGTCATTTTATTTATTTCATGAGTGAGAGAGATAGGGAGAGAGAGACGGTACGTGATCCACTCCAGCCCCAGCCAGTCCCAGATCACGGCAAATGTGGGCCTGGTACTCGGGGAGGTCTCTGGACTTGAACTGGGGGCTCTCTCATGCAGAACTGCCTCACTAGGCACCATGTTTTACCCCTGTGCCATCTTGCCCCCATCTCATACAAATTTAAAAAAATTAAAAAACAAAATCATAATTGGAAGCAAAAGCAGCCAGACCCAGAGCGCACATGCCTGGCTCCATTCATGTGGAGTTAAAGCTGGGCCACGCCGATGGGCTATCAGGGCAGGTCGCGGTTAGCAGGTGTCTCAGTGGCCAGAGAGGGCCGGGTGTCGGGGTCTGGCAACACTTCCCACTTGGCACTGCGAGAACCCACTAAACGGGTACCGTACACTTCCGTGCGCCATACTTGAATCAAAATGCAAACAAAACAAAACCCCAGAGAAAATGACCCAAAATACTTCATACAGGACAAGAGAGCAAACGAGGGAGAGTGGACTGGGGTGGGGGGGAGGAAGAGCAGGGAACTTCTGACTGAGCACCTGTTACGGCCACAGACCCGCATGGCTGAGGGGGTCCCGGAGGCCCAGACAGCGGATGGAATGGAGATCCATCGAGCTCCATCCCACAGTGAAGCAGGACAGATCTGTCCCAGACTGAGCTGTGGGGACTCCAGGACACCCGACATTACTCAGGCCCACAGGACAGAGGCCTGCCCTGCAGGGCAGCTCCTGGTGTGTGCCGTGTGCCGGGGCGGGGTTCCCAAGCTCCCTTCTGTCCAGGCATGTGGCTCTCTGAGCCCTGGGTGGAGAGCCAGCGAGGTGAGACGGCTGACTGCACGCCCACACCAGGGCTCTTTGAAATAGGATCCCTCGTTCCCCAGCGGTCCTGGCACAAAGTACACTCGGCACATGCTCCCCTTCACCCAACTCGACCCAGACAAAGTGCCCAGAACCTGGGGCACACAGAGTCCACCGTTCTAGAAAACACACCCAGTGGGCCACAGATGTGCCTAGTGGGTGCCAATAATATCTCAGGGAGAAATGCGCGTGTGCATGTGTGTGCATAGCCACGTGGGCACATGTGTGCACAGGCACAAACATGCATTGCATGAGGGCTCGTGTGCATGTGTGTGCATAGCCACGTGGGCTCATGTGTGCACAGGCACAAACATGCACTGCATGAGGGCTCGTGTGCATGTGTGTGAATGTGCATGTCCTGTGGGCTCGTGTGTGTGCACACGTGGGTGGAGTGTATGTGTATGATGAGTGAGCAGAAGTAGCTGCAGTGCTGGTGCTGTTCTGAGACCTCCGCACACAGGGCCAGCCCCATGGCCTTAGTGGTTAAGCAGCTGGGTTCCACATGGCCAGCTGAATAGTTCAACTCCCAGCCCCAGAGGCTTGGAAAACATGCTGGGTGTGTGTGTGTGTGTGTGTGCCTTGAATCCCAACAAGACAGAGAAATGAAAAAAGGATTATAATATGACCATGGCCCATTGGGGATTTTTCCCTCTCTGCCTGGCTCTCTCTGGCAAGTGCACACACCCTCTGGCAAATTAAAAGTAAAAACAAAAACAACACACAGAAGGACACACTGAGTACGGTGCAGCGTGACGACGTAGGGGCTGTTTCCACCGCCACCGCTATTAGCGTGTTCACTTTTTGGATGAACGAACTGCGGGGCAGGACGTTAGTGAGAAGCAGATATGGCTTATTACCTGTTGATGAGGACATGTATAGTATTCTCAACTGGATTGGCCTGAGAAGTACTTCATGATGGGCAAAGTCTTTTTACAAGTAAAATGAGAAATAGTGATGGACTGCTCAGAGCAGAGGGCCCCGGGCAGGGGACAGGGGTTCTGCTGGCACTGCAGGGGGTGCCTGTGCCCACACGCGCACACGCACCTTTCACTCCGGCTCTCCGAGGGTCTCCCTGTGTGCACCCATGTGCACGCAGGGCCCTGGACCCCATGTCGCTTTCCTTCCAGTCTGTAAATTCCTGATGAGCCTCTGGGAACAGCTCAGGGGCCCCTCCTCTGTGAACATCCCATGTGTCCCTGGCACCTGTCACAGCGGGAGGCCGGCCCTGCCTGTCCCTGGTGTGTCGCCTCCCCCAGCGCTGAGCCGATGCCAGGTCAGGAGAGCTGGTGGGCCAGGAGTTCGTTGCCCAGGGTGTCTAGCATCCCGGCTTTTCTCCTGCTCAGCCCCCGGGGGCAAGGCCACGGCTAGGAGAGACAGACCCAGGAGAATTCCAGAATTCTGCACAGAGCCCAGAGAGGCCTGGGTGATTCCATCCAGCCACTCAGCTCCAGCCCTTCCCATTCTCCGCCTCCTGTCCCCAGTACACCCGCACCCATGCTGCGTGGCTCCGCACTTGCCCCCAGCCCTGCTCCAGGTACCAAGCCTCAGAGCTGCAACAGGACTGTACACAGAGAATCCCACCGGGGCTCCCCTGCCGCCTGCCTCCCGCCTGCCCCTGCCTGGCTCAGCAGG